AAAAACATCATCGGTATACCTGTACGTAGTTATACCCACCCCTTAGTATACCCTAACTTCAAATTTCATAGCTAACTGAAATATGTAAATTTTGTGAAATCAAGCTTGACCAACAAAGAGGCAGAAAAAAATGCAGTCGAGGCAGTTAAACATCGGTAAATTCTTTTGTGAACCAATCAAAATTAAGATCATTCATGAAATGAATTCGTGGCATATTCATAGAATAATTATTGGTAAAAATCAGTTAGATTAACAACTTCTAATAAATAGAAAAGCCAGTGCATTTTGGTAACACTACGTTTTAACAATGGCTTTTATGTCATGTTGCTTAACAACAAAAGTATAATATTGTTGTTGTTAGTCTATGTACTGAAAGTATAAAATTAAATGTATAGACAACAAAACTGAAAAAAATATTTGTTGATTTCTTAATTTAGAGTCTCCATTGATTAAAGAGGTTTTTTTTTTTTATTAAAAACGTTGGTGATATGACAGAAAATAGCTTAATTCAGAATTATTTAAGTTTAAAATTAAATCAATATTTTTACTTTCATGATAAATTTTATGCTCTAGACTAGGTGATTCCACACTACATCTTTACTTTAGGCTTATTATACCAACACTCACTACACTTATAAAGTTTCACGCCACCCCCCATGCACCCCCTGTCACTAAAATCGTAATGGGCAGACAGTAATCGAACTATTCAATCTGGATAAATGCATTTTGGCTTTTATGACTCCTCCTATTTCGAGAAATCAAGCGTGACATGACACACACACTGTTTTTATACAGGTTAGGTCGTTGATCTTGGTGTTTGTGTCATAAAACTTTATTTAAATATTTCACAAAAGTTCTGAGTGCAATTATAGCTAGAATTCAGAAATTAGATTAACCACCTTATAAGTCTTTAATCTTATTTTTATTTCCTTGGAGCATACAACCCTTTTTTCAAGCCAGAAACTAGTCTGTTGGTTAATGACATTCTGAAAGGCAATAATATAGCAATGGCAAAATTTAACAGACCTAAATAGAATAAGGATGAGCTATTGATTCAAAATAAGGAAAAAAAACAGTAAATGTGGACAAATTAAGAAGATAAAAACCTTAAAAGAAGTAACATAATTTAAAAAAAATATTATAAACGTTTTAACAATTATATAAATCTGAACCACTTGGTAACAACCTAACTTAAAAATTCTTTTGTTTTCTATAATGATTCTTTGATTGGTGTTTGGGGTCATTTCGTAGGGCAGTTACTTTAACATGGTCAGTGGATTGACTTAGATTAGTTGACGTGTCAAGCAATAGGCTTATTTTGATCTTTAATTGAAATGTTATGTAAGTGTTCTCCAAAAGTTTGTTTTTCATTTGAACTATGACATCAGTTATACAAACGTACTGATCAAACTGTTGCATTGACATCCATAATAAAGTCTGAATTTAACTTTTTATATTAAAACACAAAGAAGAATTTAAAATCCAAGCAGCTTGCAAGTCAATTATTTATAAATATAAACTACATATAGATGTACCAATGATGTTTTTGGTATAACTACATATAGATATACCGATGATGTTTTTGGTATAACTACATACAGATATACCGATGATGTTTTTCTAACATATTTAGTGAGTGATAATTTTATAGTGTTGTTAACATTAGTGGATGATAATTTTATTGTGTTGTTAACATATTTAGTGAGTGATAATTTTATAGTGTTGTTAACATATTTAGTGAGTGATAATACTAAATCATTTAGAGCCAAACATATGTTTTAACTTTAACTGAAGATCCACGTTCAGTATTATTTTGAAGAAGATAATCGCTGAAGATATGTAGTGTCTGTTAAATATTTCTCAACTTGATACACTACCTTTCAGAAAAGATGTTAAATATTATTAACAGTTTGGAACTATAAGTGTCAAAATCCATTCTATAATTATCATATAGGTAGTTTCTCTTAATGATGTAGTTGGTTTTAGAATTATTAAGGTTTCCTGTAAGATTCAGACTGTGATACATACAGCTGGACAGGTGCATTTTAAGGGTGGTGGTCAATTTCCACTGCTATGTCAGACAAGAGATGGGAGTGGATGCTGTTGCCTAGTTATCTTCTTATTAGTTTATTAATTATCCAGTAGATAAAGTCAAAGGGATGATAAAAATGTTATTATCATTACTGTTTTGACTGAGATCACGAGACAGCAGATGATGAGTGAAATGAAAAGGGACGTAATCCTGAAACATGATGAGGACTCTTCTCTGATGTTGTCTTTATGTGATTAAAGTCTTGAACGACTATAATATAACTTCCCATTGTCACACAGTGCAAACTTCATAAATCTGATTTAAAATTATGCTTCAAAAAATGCATAGTGTTGATGAGTAAAGATTTTAATTTTTTTATTTTCAGGTAGGCACCCAGAGGTATGTTCCATTACCTGTGGTTGAACAAAATGGAAGACAGATGCTTCTTACGGTGAGTTACAATATAACTAGGGTACAGCCCGTCAAAAATGATGGGGCAAGTACTACCCAACACAATAAAATTATCACTCACTAAATATGTTAACAACACAATAAAATTATCACTCACTAAATATGTTAACAACACAATAAAATTATCACTCACTAAATATGTTAACAACACAATAAAATTATCACTCA